ACCTCTCAGTAAAGAACCACAGCTTGTCTTCAGATCCATCGAGCGCTCTGACTCTGGACAGTATTACTGTATAGCTGCTAATACAGTGGGGACGATATCTGAATATGTTTCTATTAATGTGAACTGTGAGTGGAAATAATTTCATACATTTCTCTCAGATCCATCAATAATGTCTCTCCATGACAGTGAGATTTAATCTGTCTTCAGAGGATTTTTTTTTTTTTAGTTTTTTATATACTGCATCAGTTGTCATAAAACTTTGTCTCATTTCAGTAGTAATTCTACAACTTTATATCTTTGCTTAGAAGAAAATAAATAGGTTCAACTACTGCACAAGACTTCAAGCTGTTACACTTTTTAAATTCCTCATCATTTTAACAAATTACTGATCATTTGCACAACTGTTTTTCTTACAGATGCTCCAAAGTTTTTGTCAGTGATGGTGAGCCCTTCTAATGAATTCAGGGAGGGTGGATCAGTGACTCTGACCTGTAGCAGTGATGCTAATCCAGCAGCTCAATACTCCTGGTACAAGAAGAATGGACAAAAACCTCTCAGTAATGAACGGCAGCTCTCCTTCAGCTCCATCCAGCCCTCTGACTCTGGAGAGTATTACTGTACAGCTCAGAACAAAGTGGGGAGGAAGAGATCTGAATATACCTCCATTGATGTCAAATGTGGGTATATTTTTTAAGAAAAATGTTTGAAAATTCAATTTCACATATCAAATAATCAATAAATGTCCCTTATACACCTTTTACAGATGTAACTTCTTCAAAAAGGATAAATTCAATTTTCTTCATTAGATTTTTTCTTGCATGCCAACTTATAAGCATTTCAGTGCAAATCTCTATTTGCTGAATCATGTTTATGGTCATTAGAAGATCTACCAACTTTTCCTGTTCTCCCACCACCATCAATCTATAAATAGTCCAATTTGATCATATCTTAACATCATAATGTAGATGTCTGATAACACCATCCAAATCTCCTCACCGAGAAGCTCCTGTAGCATTAAATTCATTGAGTTGTTTGATCTGTTTAATAATTCAACCTTTGAAGGAACTAATAACATGCTTTTGTCTTCCTGTGTTTCCTGCAGATGATCCAAAGTCTCCCTCTGTGTCAGTGAGTCCATCTGGTGAAATCAAGGAGGGCACTGCAGTGACTCTGACCTGTAGCAGTGAAGCTAACCCAGCAGCTACGTATGTCTGGTACAAGAGGAACAGCCAACCACTCAGCAAAAACCCACAGCTCATCTTCAACTCCATCCAGTCCTCTGACTTTGGAGAGTATTACTGTAGAGCTGTGAACAAGCTGGGGTCAACACTTAAATCCATCACTATTGATGTGAAATGTAAGTCAAATAATTTTCACAAAAATGTCTGTCAGTATTTCTACATATGTTGGTCTATAATATCATCTTTCTTCGGGTCTGCCTGCTTCATGATTGCAGACCGCTGCTGTCTCTCCTTGAGTAGAGCAAATGAAGATAAAACGTTATTTTTCTTTTTTGTGTTACATTTTTAGCACACAGTGTTACTGTGCTGTTCTGGTCTGTCAATCAGAAATATGGAAGGTACTTTTCATCATCATCTTGTCTTCTATTTATGGCTATAAACTTGTCACAGGTCACTTAGAGTAGAGCCCGACTTTGACTCTGTGCTGGTGATTCAGTGACTGTTGATAAGTAAAGCCTCATTGTCACGGTCCTAAGTCTGTGACTCAGTGTTTTTCTGTTTGTATTAGTTATCTTTGATTTCATGATGTGTTTTGATTCTCTTGGGTTTGATTTCTGTCACTAGTATTCCTAACTCCCTAGGTCCTTAGCATTTCTTGTGTTCTCCTTCTTAGGTCGTGGTTCTGTGTTACTTCTGTTAGTATACAGTCATTTCTGTCAGTGTGTCTCTTGTTCTGTCACTTTATCCCCTAGTTTAGTCCACGTCTGTTCAGTTTCCTGTTTTACTTTGAAAGTCTGTGTACTATGTCAATGTGTTGAGTTTTGCCTCCCCTTGTCTTGTCATGTCTGATGAGTCCCAGCTGTGCTCTCCTCCTGTTTCACATTCCCTAATCACCACAGTATGTATTTAAGCCCTGTGTTTTTCCCTGCCAGTTGTTGCGTCCTCCACGTTTGTTGTGTGTGTATTCATTGTCGTCTACCTTCAGCATCTCCAGTCTAGTTAGTTTAAGTTGTTGTTTATGTATCGCCAAGGGTGACTCACCAGCAAATAAAGCTGTCGTTTAAGTTAATGTTTTGTCTCCAAGTCCTGCACGTGGTCCAACCACTGACAGCCACACAACTCATCGTGACACTCATCTTGGCTCCATGAAGTTTAAAAACAAAATATGACCTATCTTATCTTCCTCACTAAGAAAACAAATTGACACTTAGGACTCTGATAGTAAGATTTCCTCTAAGGTACATTTTTCAATTAAAATTTGTAAAATATATTTTTTAACATTTTCATCCTTCGAGGACTGCAGTTTTCCAGAAAGTTTTCTGTGATTCCTCTTTCTCGAGAAGAAATAAATGTCAGTACTTATGGTGGAATCAGGTTGATACAGTGGTCATCATTGTCGACTTATTATAAGAAGGTTCTGGGCTGAAACTTCCTGGTCAGTCAAAGCCTTTCTGAGAAGTCTGTCCAAAAACCTGCTTGTTAGTTTAACTGGTGATTCAGATGTCAGTGTTTCAGTCTGTATTTGTGCTGTGATAGACTTTGCCTGTATCCTGCTTGTCACTCAGTTATGTCTGGTCAATAAAACCTCCAGTATAAGGCAATCATTATTATTTTCAGTATCTGTATTTTTGATCTTGTAATTTCTTGTTTACCATTAGTATGGAAATATCAAAATGTGTCTGAGGATGTCGATGTTCCTGCTAACACCATCCAGAACTCTTCACTTGTGTTATTGTACACTTACACAGTTAGTTGATTTGGTCAGACATTCAAACTACAGTTACCTCCCTGTGTTTTCTCCTCCAGATGCTCCAAAGCCTCCCTCTGTGTCAGTGAGTCCGTCTGGTGAGATCAAGGAGGGCACTTCAGTGACTCTGACCTGTAGCAGTGAAGCTAACCCAGCAGCTACGTATGTCTGGTACAAGAAGAACAATCAAACACCTGTCAGTACAGATTCACAGCTCTCCTTCAAGTCCATCCAGCCTGCTGACTCTGGAGAGTATTACTGTACAGCTGAGAACAGGCTGGGAACATCAACACCTACAAACATTTCTGTTGATGTGAAATGTGAGTAAAACAGGGCGTTTAGGAAACCTTCAGCTCATGAGTGTCAGTGTTTGAGATTTGCAAATCATTACATTCATTTTGATTCACATTGTCCATAGACCCCTTTTTTAGATATTGTGGTAATTTGTTTCATTTTTTCATCAAATCATAATGTGGCTAAGCTTTTGTCTTTAATCCGATCAATAATTCAACCATCACACCCTCCGGTCCCTTTTCTTGAAGATGGGAACCACCACCCCAGTCTGTCAATCCAGCCTCCATGCAACATTGTAGAGATGTGTCAACCTGGACAGCCCTACAGCATCCAGAGCCTTTAGGAACTCAGGGTAGACCTCATTTACCGCAGGGGCTCTGCCACCAAGGAGTTGTTTAACTGCCTCAGTTACCTCGCCCATAGAGATTGGCGAGTCATCCCCCTCATTCCCAGACTCTGCTTCCTCAACAAAAGACGTGCCAGTGGGATTAAGGAGGTCCTCGAAGTATTCCTTCAAACACCCAACAATTTTCTCAGTTCAAGTCAGCAGCGCTTCACCCGCACTATACACAATGCAAGTAGAGCTCTGTGTGTTGAAGATCTCGCAGACTGGGGCCTCTGTCAGGCGTTCCCAGTGGATCGGTCTGTGAGGACCTCTGCTCCTGGCCGCTCCTGGTACAAAATGCACCCGACCCCTACGGCGTCTCCTGCAGGTGGTGGGCCTGCAGGAGGATTGGCCCATGTCTCTCTTTTGGGCTGTGCCCAGCTGGGCCCTGTGGACTAAGGCCCGGCCACCATACACTCGCCTTTGGGCAGTTTCCCCAGGCCTGGCCCTATACTGGGCAGGGTGAGCTTCTTCTAAATCGCTCTTTGTCTAGTCCTTCACCCAGGACCATTTTGCCATGGGAGACCCTACAAGGGGGCAGAAGCCCCTGGACAACATAGCCCCTGGGTTCCCTGGGACACATAAACCCCTCTACTACCATAAAGTAGTGATATGCGGAGGGGATCTTTAAAAAAAAGATACAATGCTGTCATTTTTCTTTGCTTTCTCCTGCAGATGCTCCAAAGCCTCTCTCTGTGTCAGTGCGTCCCTCTGGTGAAATCAAGGAGGGCACTTCAGTGACTCTGACCTGTAGCAGTGAAGCTAACCCAGCAGCTACGTTTGTCTGGTACAAGACAAATGGAAGGACACCTCTCAGTAAAGAACCAC